CTACAACATATCTTGTGGGCTCAGAACATGGTAGTAATTTCAATATGAATGCTGGCACTTATACCTACACATTCTCCTGTCCCATACCACCAAACTGTCCTTCATCCTTCGAAAGCACTTACGGACACATACGTTACCTCGCCAAAGTTACATTTATACGAAACGGCGCTGCCGATCGCGTACACAATGTAGGCTTCACAGTACTCAAATTGCTAGATTTAAATCAGGAGAGTAAAATGTTGAAGGTAATTAATAAAATTTCTCTTTATAAAAAAAGAAAAAACTAACGTTAACTCATTTGCATTTTCCAGTCGCCCGCCACCAACGATGCGCTCGAGAATGTCTGCTTCTTCCTATCCAAGGCGGTACACCTGAAAGTCGACCTCCAACAGACAGGCTATGTACCGGGCCAGTATGTGTTGGTCAGCGCTGATGTGGACAATCAATCGTCCGTAGACTGTAAAAAGCTTATTATAACGTTGAATTTACGCGCCACATACACTTCAGATACGCCAGCTTTGCACACAATTTCGGAGAAAATTTGTCTTGCGAAAAAAGTTTGTGGTCATGTGCCGCGTTACATGCGCAAAGCGTTCGCAGAAACTATACGCGTGCCAGCGACTGCGCCAACCTGTGAGCATATAAGCAAAGTTGTACGCGTCTCCTACGAGCTTTGTGTGCAAGCAATGATGAGTTCTGTAATGCGAAATCCGAAAACCGTTATACCAATAACTATTGGCAATGTGCCCTTAACGACAGCTGATGAGGAAGAATGGTTAGAGGAAGAGCGGGAAAGAGAAGATATGCCAACAACATCTGCTGGACACGTTGGATCACCTAGAGAAATGGAAAGTGATATTGGGGCGATAAGAGCAGTGGACGAGGAAGATACAAGTGAAGCTGAGGAGGGAATTGATTTGCGTGAGTTAAATCCAAACCTTAAGCACGTACATTCGTATGTACTTAAGCCATACCGATTTTTTTTACTAGTACTGCCTGAAATTAATTATTTGAAAAATACATTCGCAAGACTAGAATTTTTAGGAATATTCTGAGTCTATAGAAACCCACACAACGAGCTTGGAGCCTTTAAGACAAATGCCCATTGGTCGAAGTATCACAACTGCATAGTACTTCAGTAAGAAGTCCCGCGTTTATTTTTGGTAGCCTTAATAACTATAGTGTTCTTTGTGTTCTAATCAAGGTATCTACCGACTTTACCGAACCAATTTCAAAACCAAGAACACCATTGGAAGGTACTTTTCTGTAGTTTACGAGAGTTTTTATACTTTCGAAATCGGTTGGAAATTACGGCCGAAATCGTCGCTTAAAAAATTTCCATATTTATGTATAGTTGCTGTTGCAACCTGTTCAATTTAAGACTAAAATGGAGATAAAAACGAAAATGGAGGCAATGAGAAATACATGAGGATTAGGGTACCTGAATTGAAATTTTTCGATAGGAATCGAAATAGAATCAGCCATAGCAGTTACCGAAATTTATCGAATCATCGAATTTTATAATTCTCGAAATTTATCCATGATTCTTCTTCTTCTTATTTGGCGCTGTAACCGCCTAAGCGATATTGGCCGAGTTCAACAAAGCAAGCCAGTCGTTTCATTTCTGTACCAAATGGAAATGGAATGGTGTGAATGGAATTGGAAATGCCAAGTGAAGCCAAGTCCTTCTCCACCTTGTCTTTCCATCTCAGTGGGGGCCGTCCTTTTCCTCTGCTACCACCAGCGGGTTCCGAGTTGAATACTTTCAGAGCT